CCTTAACAGAAAATGGTTTTGGTAAAAATAAATTTCACTGATGAGAAAAATACTTCAGTAAAAGTCATAAAACTTTTCAAAAAATTGGGAAAGTAAAAATAAAAGTATTTTTACACACTCTCTAAGAAATAAACCGTAGAATTTATATAATTTCTTCCACCGGTGGACAAAAATGGTTTGGTTTCTGCCTTTAAACATGTCCAGACGCCACCGGGGGCTTTTATTTTGAAGACTAGGGTGTCAGACCACTTCCTCTGGTTCTTACCTTTTTTTGGTACCCTTAAAAATGTCAAAAGGCTTTTAAGGAATGTCAGGGGTGTCTGTTAAAGGGTTAACCAAACTGGTTCCACTACACCAAGTGGAGAAAATATTCTTACCTCATATTTACTCTACTGGGTTTAGTGAAACCAGCTGACATGACGTGGTTGAGTAAATTCAACACTTCAGTTTTTTACAGTGCATAATCAACTTCATGAAACCTTCCACGATGATTTCAGACAGATTTTATTTTGTAACGAGTAACTAGGTGTTAAATTTTAATTAAGTGAAAGTATCAATTTTAGGTTTTAAATGTAACAAAATAAAAGTAAAAGTAACAATTAAAAAATAGTTGGTAAAATTACAAATCCTCAAAACAGTTACTTAAGTACAGTAACTAAGTAAATTAGTTACTATCAACCGCTGGTAGCCATCTTGAATTTGGTTGGCTCCAAAAGTCACGAGTTTCATTAAAAGCAAAACAAGCWAAACAGTCCCTGCCCACCATCGCCTCCTGGCAGCTGGGCAATAAGAAGRACCAGGAGAGGTTTAATAAAGCCATCACAACCTCCCAGAGACTGCAGTATATTTAGCTAAAACAATGAATGCCCTGCAGCYAGTCCCGTTCTGGGGGCCCTTTTGGGACCGCTGACATGAAAAGTACTAAATCAGCAGCAGTGGAGCTGTTAACAGCTTCACTGAGCAGTAATGCAAAACCTCACAGTCTTCTGGCTGACACAGAGTAGGATAATAACCCCACATTAGACCKGTAAGATGCTAGCAGGGAAGAGTGAACCAACCTTTTGTGGAGATCTGGACRTGGGGCCGGGGGACTGCGACCTCGTGTTTTTAGCCGAGGAGCCTGCTGACGAACAGAGGAAGAGGAGGAAAATAATATAATTAGTGTTTTTTTTCCTCGCACTCCTCAGGAAACATACAGCAGAGTCGTGCAAACAAAAACACACAGGATAAAGAAAAAAAAAAAGGCAGAAAAAGCCGGTGGCCATGAGCAAGTATGAATCAAATGAGCGCTGATGTTGTGCAGGTCCTTCAGGCTGCCCTAAACTGTTCCTACATCCAACAGCTGCTGCTGTACAATGAAACAAGGGCAGAAAGAAAGGAGGAAAAAAATTAAACGTCTGCTGATTGTGCTGCTGGGGACGGCACTACGACTGAAACTGAAGACAGAAGTTCAATCTGTTGCATCTAAACTAAAACCAGAATAAATAATTATAAATAATTAGCCTCATTTAAAGACAGGATTACCGTATTTTCTGGACTATAAGTCACAYATTTTTTCGCAGTTTTTCATAGTGTTTTCCTCTTCATGACCGAGTAAACATTACCGTCGGTAACAGTGAGAGGGCGCTCTAGGCTTGTGACAACTACGGTTTATGTTGTTCCTGCTGTTTATGGGTTAAAAATATTACCAGCAGGAACTAAATTTGGAGTGAACGAGACACTTGTGATCGACTGACAAAAAACAGAGGTTTCTTTTACCGCCATGAGGAAAACAAAGAAAGCTAATCGCGATGTAGAATGAGACTGGTGAACTTACCGGGATGCGTTTTTATTTAATTTGTGACAAAACAATAATGGACTACAACAAACTCGAAGGAAAAGTACAGAAGACTGTACCAAACCATCCAATTATATGACACTAATGACAAGATGGCAGGATGACAGAGGAGGGTAAGCTAACGGTAGCTAAWGTTAGCTTGTCTTTGCTTGCTGTGTTTTTTTTTATTTAATACGTGGAAAAACTTGTTGCAGTTTTGCAAACTATTCACGTAAAGTTAATCTCATCTGTTAATTAAAGTTWTTCGGCATCCCGCCAGGTACGTTCTTTGTTGTTGTGTTTTTCCCGATTGTTCAGATGCAACTTATAGTTCGGAAAATACAGTATTTTTTTTTTTTYGATGAGTCGTATCGTGTTGTTTGGAGTTGCTTGTTGGTAACATGCTGATTAAAAACTAGAGAAGCTGAAGAGCTGGTGAGAGCAGCAGGTGTCAAAAGTCAGACGGGAAAATTAGTAGCACACTTCAGCAGAGGGTTGGACCAGTTTACCTGAGTACGGTGGCCTAGGAGGTACAGGAGGGCACACCAATTTGCCCGGATGGTCAGAGAAGGATGGTGCGCCCTCTTTGACACTGTCTAGGCTCCAGCTACTGGGAGTGGGTCTCACTTTACAGCACACACACAAAAACACAAGTCACGGGACGGCATGCAAAAAACAAAACAAACAAAACACAATGGAGATGTTCACATATTAAAYTTATGAAAAAATAATGGAAATAGTGGCAAACATAAAACTTCCTGAAACGTGACAGAGAGATAAGAAAAAAAAAGTCTTTAAATCGTCTAAAAGCGTCAATCAGCTCGGAGTGATGGGACTGAACGTGAACTGCTCCTGCCTGTCTCTGAACTGTTCGGGTTATTACACACGACATATTTATTCCTTTTCTTTGCAGTGGGCGCAGCTGCGTGGAAATAATGCAATGTTACATTCCTCCAAAACAAACACTGATGACATTTGTTGGCTTGTTTGCTCATTGTCAATCAAAGGGAATCAAAACACATCCGACACCAGCCTCTTAGCAAAAGCTTTGGGCTGCTCGTCTGATAAATTCCTATTTATGGTGTAAATTTGGTGGATTTGCTAAAGTTTTGAGTTTGATCTTTTTGAAGTTGCTTTTTCTTTTTTTTATTGTGGTATCGTCTTGTGTTTGATCGGAAACTATGAATCTGACTGATTGATTGGTTGGTAGGAAAATTAATTAGGTAATTTTTTTGTATTTTCTGAATAATTGACTTCAACATTTTCAGCGATTGAGACGTCTATCTCTGCCGTTTATTTTTTTGTACAAATCTTAATTTATTACCTTGGTGACAATCATTACTAGTAGCCTGTGTGTGTTTTAAGGTATCAAAGATTTAAACAGGAGATAAAACTGTTTTATTCACTAACAATAATCTAAGTGTTTCTAACTGAGTCTGAGCTCTGTTGTTTCTGCTAATCTCACACCTTGCTTTAAATGGATCCCTGATTAGTTGTAACATTAGACTTTATTTTGATAAATATATTTTAACTGTAAAATAAAGACTGTAAAAATAC